GGCCTGCCCCGCGGGAGCCAGGGCCACAGGCTCCCGAGCCGGCAGCGCCCCGCTCGGCCCTCACGACTTCCCTTTCATTTTAAAACTCGTGATGAAATGTCCGTGGCACAAAGTTGACCGCGTGAGCCGCTTCCCAGTGTGGCGGCATCAGGTACCTTCACGTTGCTGTGCCACGGCCACCGTCACCGCCATCCGCCCGTCCCCAGAACGTCGTCTTCCCAAACTGGACCTGCCCACCCCTCCCTCTCTCCTCTGCCCCTGCGGTGACACCCCCAGCACCGCGGGCAGCCTGCAAGGGCCAGGGCCTTCCCGGTTGCCAGGGCGCCGGGCCGCCCGCCTGGGTAACCAGGTGCCGGGCCGGCGGGCACGGGGAAGTCGAGGCCTCCGCGGGCGACGGACTCACGCACCCACGCAGGTCCGGCAGGCGTGATGGCACGCGCTGCATCTGACCAGCTCCGAATCGAAGAAGGTGCCCGGTTCGCAGTCCGGGATGCAGCTGCCCCGTGCGAGGCTGTGGGAGGAAAAAGAAAAACGGTTTTTAGATCCCTTCCGAATTGCGATCTGCCATCGAACGCCTTTCGCGACAGGAAAGGAAGTTGGGAAAGCACAGGTCTTGGTGTCACATGAGGTCCCGAGCCAGTGAGAGCGGGAAAGGCTGGCCCGAGGCCGGCTCCACGCTGGGCCTGGAAGCAGACCTCCGCCTGCGGGGCGTGGTGGCCGCAGGCTCCACCCCAAAGCCCCCGTGGCCTGGGCCTGGAGCAGAAGGTCAAGTGCTCGGGTCTGTCCGCCTCTGTGATGGCTCCTCTCCGCTGCCGTTCATCAGATTTGAATCTGAACCCCAGGAGGAGAACTTAAGCATGTGTGGGTTAACCCTGGTGGCACGCTGTCCCAATGTCACCGCCTCTGAGCCTTCCACAGTGTTAGCCAGACTGACCCCGAAACCTGGACCTGTTCCTGCCCTGCCTGGGACTTTCTACACGTCGCCTTCTGTAGTGACCGTGAGCTAGAACTCCCTCCAGGGCCCTGCCTGACGTGCCCCCCCCCCCGGGAGGACGGACTTAGGAGGAGCCTCGGGAGCTGGATGGCCCCCTCGGGTCCTGCCTCTGCCATTCCCTGGATGTGCCACCCTGACCCCGGGCCGGCCAGCCCGCCTCTCTGTGCCTTAGCACCTCTGACCATCGGGGACCCCGGGGTCCTGTACCATAAAGCTGCTGTGAGGGCGACGTGGCAGTAACCCCCCAAACACCGAGCAGTGCCTGGCGCACAACAGTGCGAACGAACGTCAGCTGCTCGGTGTCTTCAGTCCCCGAGGTTACACTGCGCTCGACATGCACTTTGTAAGCGTGTCTGCCACCAGACACAAGGGACAAGCAAGCGCCCTGTGACACCCACAGAGTCCCGCATCTTAGGGGCATGGCAGGTGGTGGGTCCCGGAGCCTCTCCGCGGATGGCGCCTGCCTGCTGGGGCCCCCCGTAGCGTGGCGCCAGAGCCGCCGCGACTGGCCATTCAGTCAGGTCGCACAGGCCAGACTTCCTGCATCCGCCTCTCAAGGGACGGATGGCAGAGGCCGCGGCTCGCTGCTCAACTGCTTCAGCGTGACGCTGATGATTTGAAGCCACAGCTTAAGAGGATATTGGGCAATAGAAGGAAGCTTTCTGTGGATGACGGCGACGACGTGTGCAGAGCCCTGTGGCCCGCTGAGTGCCGGCCACGGCTGGCGCCCCGGTCTGAGGGGCGGCTGCGTTCTCCCCGACACCGCTCCCGACGCGAGCGGCTGTCCCCTCCCCCGGGGGACCCCATGGGCTCCCAGAGCTGCCCCCGTGCCTCCTGTGGGGAGGTGGGCTCCAGGGGTTTGGAACCGTGCCTCGGGCCCTGTGGTCACCTCCGGCTTCCGGCTGGGGTGGAAGTGCCACCATGCCGCCCGGCCCAGGCCCCCGCCGGCCCTAACGCAACGTCCCCTCCCTCTCTTCTGGGGAACCGCTTCCTCAGCTCCTCCTGTCGCTCCTAAGCCTGCCCTGTCCAGCTAACAGCGTCGGTGACAACAGGTGTGACGTGTGAGTCTGGGGGCCCGCCGCCCCCTCCCGGGGGACCCTCTCCCTGGGATCTGGAAGAGGGCGCAGGCTGCCGGGACCCCGGTACAGCGGCGACAGCGCGCTTCCCGGGGAAGCGGTCTCCCCTGATGGAAAGCGGGCAGCGACGACACCTAAGTCACAGGTCGCTACGATGGTCGACCGGGGCAGGGGTGCCGGGGGCCCTGGGAGGGACACTTCAGCTCTGCTGGCCGTTTCGGGCGGAAGGGAGGCCGGGCCGTGGGGGGAGGGCCAGGCCCCTGGTACCAGGGCCAGCAGCACCGTCGCCACCTGGGGGCCTGTCAGAGACACAGTCACAGAGGCCTGGGGATACCGGCGCACCCCGACCCGCCCCCGTCTGTGGCCACCGCCAGCCCTGACCTGCCTGCCCAGCTCCCAGCTCTCGGCCCCACACCGCATCTGAACGCGGAGCGGGACCCCTCACGGGGCCACCCCAGGCCCCACGTGCTGCCGCCGCGGACCCCTAAGCGCAGTGAGTCGCCGGCGGGAACGCGACCTCGGCCCTTCGCGTCTCTCTCCTTCATCTTCACAAGGCACGCGGACAGCACCCTACCTGACAACTGAGGGGACGAGCAGGCATGATCCGCGCCACTCCCCACTCCCCGGCGCAAGTGGCCCGGCGGCCGGCCCGCCCTCCTCCTCCTCAAGAGGCGGGGTGCGGGCTGCGCGGTGTTCGCAGCGTGACTTGGGACAGAATGTTTCCTAAGCTTC